GTCGCAGCTCGACTTGAGTCCACTTTATCACTCCAAATGAGTAAAGTAGGATCGGAACAGCAAGCATGTTAGTCGCAGCGACTTTGTTCTTCCCCGACAGTTCTGACGACCAGATCTGTCGGAGCCGCTGCCGATACTTGCTGCGGAGAGCGTCTTTTACCCGTTGTGCCTCCTGGATGTGAGTTTCCTCTACACCCAGGTAGGTGTACGTCTCTCCGGCATCCAGGTGGCGTAGGATGCTTCCGTCCACGAGCTGCGCGTCCTTGTCGTAGTTCTCGCATCGTCCTCTCTTGAGATGAACCAGTGCACATTTGTCCATCCCGAATTCCATTCCAATTGCCTGCGTGTACTCCTGCACCACCCTGAGGGATTGGTCCATATCCCTCTCACCAGAGGCATAAAGTTTGAGGTCATCCACATAGAATAAGTGGGTGACTTTATGCCTCCGGTAACTGGGTGGGCCGCAGTTGTATCCTCTGGTTTTGCGGAGCTCAACGGATAGTGACAGAAGTGAAATGCAGAATAGGAGAGGGCTAAGGGAGTCCCCTTGAAATACTCCTCTCCTTATGATGACTGGCTCTGTCTGAACTCTCGCATTACCTGATGTTATAGTAAAGCGGGTCTTCCAGACCAGCATCAGTTGTTCTATGCATCTCACTATAGAATCGGGTACCGAAAGACATTTGAGCAAGTACACGAGTAACTCATGTGACGTTGTGTCAAATGCTTTTCGGTAATCGATCCAGGCCACAGAAAGATTCCGCTTGTACTGCACAGAGTCCTGTGTAATAGATCTATCTATCAACAGGTTCTCCTTGCAGCCAGCGACACCTCTCTTCGACCCACGCTGCTCAGAAATCCGTTGGTAAACCGGATCAACTACTAGGAGTACTCGCATGTACAAGATGCGTGTAAACAACTTGTAACATGCATTCAGGCAGGTAATTGGTCTGTAATTCTTCGGATTGGACAAATCTCCAGTCTTAGGGAGAAGCACGGTTCGCCCCTCGATAAACCACTCAGGGATTTGCTGCTCCCCATTCAGCCAGCTATTGAATATCCTGGCTAAATGGTGGTGGGTAGAGGGAAACTTTTTCCACCAGAAGTTATTGATCCCGTCGGGACCAGGAGCCTTTCAGGGCTTCTCGAACCTTCTCAGTGGTTATCGGTTGGCGCAGTAATTCGGGCTCAGGCTCTCGGTATCTTCCGCAGAAGGTACCGAACTGCGCCAGGGCTGGAGTATCTCTGTTGAATGGATGCCTCACTTCGTAAATACTCTTCCAGAAGGTTTCCACCTGATCAGCAGTCGGCGGATTGTCAACCACACTTGGAGGCGGTTGAAATAAGCGAGAGGGCTTTTCGCGGAATTGTTTATTTTCCGCCAGCCCTCTCGCTCGCCTCTTTAGTGACTGTTTAGCAGCCACTAACATCCGTATCCTTTCGAGGCAGTGCTGTTTGATGGTGGATAGCACTGCCTCATTTAGTGTGTGATGGGTGCGACGCAAAGTATTGGCCATCCGTCGCACCTTCGATGTGAATGGCCTGTTGGCACTCACATAATCCATCACACACTGGATACGGGAAGTGTGTTGTCTCGCCGACTGGATCTTGGCTTCCATCTTTTGTACACGCCGATCGGCTCTCTCAGTCGGAGAGACCGTTTGTATGGGTCTCTCCGGTAGAGAGGACCGAACGACGTCATACACGGCACAGTTGATGTGCCAGATTTCAGCCCCTTCCGGAAGTGTCCCTCGAAGTGATTCATTCATTCTTGCAAGGTTTATTATTATTATTATTATTATTATTATTATTATTATTATTATTATTATTATTTTTATTATTACATGCTTCATCATATTGACATGTTCTACACCTAAAAAAGGTATTTTAAAGGAACTAATAAAGGATATCTATCTAATTCCAGAGAAGTCCGTGCGTTTTTATCCCTTGGCCGGCGCGGTCGCCTGATTTGACACAGCTGGATTTTTTCTTAGGGGATATATCGAACTTTGTATACGCAAATAACTTTGAGGATGAAGAAGAACTAAGGGACAGTGTCTTCGAAGCATTCAATAGAATAACGCCAGGAATGCTTAGCAATGTCTTAGAAACAACTGTGAGAAGAGGATATCTTTGTTCAGAAAATAATGGTTATCATTTTGAACATTTGTTATGAATGTCTCTGTAGGTATTGTCAAAGTTAAGTTGTTAAAGTAATTCGTGTAAGAATTCATCAACAATTTTAAACGCTGCATTGATCGAATGATGTAGTGAAATATTTTTCATTCACTTTTCAGTATTGAATAACTAATCCATCGAGTTTGACACTAAATGATAAGAAATAAGTGGAACTGATGGCTTTTTTTCTTTTGGAAGTTCGAAAAAACATTGATGATGGATAGAAATAGGTCGAAACACATTCGAATCACCTTGTATAGTACATTGTTAAATTTAGAATAAAAAAACCTTTCAGAATCTGTGAAAAAAATATCAGGACCGTATTCAAAAAACAAAAGTTGATGATGGTTCCACGAATACGAAACGTCGCATAAAAAAAATCGGTATCACCACGTTGAACCTCATCGAATGTTGCAATGAAAAAGTATTTTCAGTTTTTCTGTATCTCTGATAATAACGGAGAAAAAAAATAAAATAGAAATTCCAAAAATTCTCTTTTTTCGATATAACTCAAAAACTAAATATAATTTTCAAAATTTTCGAAGGCTCTTGATATGAGCCTCCGAATGCGCAACTTTTTCTCCATTTAAGCGACTTCGTATCTCCTACCGTTTCCGAGATCCCCATGCTGTTCAACCTTATCTTGGACAGACTGTATAACGTATGAATGCAGTCATCCAGAGAAGCGTAAGGTTATGGGGAGTCCACATATTGAAATTATCGCACGAATAACGCAATTACCGTGATAGTGAAATAGTTTTTTCACCAAAAGAGATTAATTTCTTGGAATGTTAGAAAATGCATAACCAGTATATATCAACCTATAACATTCTTTGTCAATCAAGCTGATATGGCTGTTGTCCAGCAATACAAAAAAAAATCGAGCTAAATCCTGCTGGTGAAAACTTCAGGAAGAGACTAATTATTCAAAGAAATGCGTTAGTAGAGTGATAAGTGATAAGATTCATGAAATGGGATGGAGAAGAACATGTATACAATATACCACTGGGGATCATAGAATCAGCTTAGATTGAGAACATAGCTATTTCATGAATTGGTCTGTGGAAATAAGGAAATTGAGAACAGAAAATTACTTCACGGCTCGCGGGCCATAATGAGCCCGTGGGCGGTAAAATGCGCTTTACCGCCCGCTAGTGCATAAACAGTTTCAAGAATTCAGTATCCTGCATTTCGTCGCGTTATAATAACAGAGTTCTATCTGGCTCAGAGATCATTTCGAGAAATCGCTAGTTGAATATTTGATTTCATGTGGTTTTACTACTTTAGGCTCAATTCTAAAACAACTTTTACACAAATTTAGTGGTGATACCCTTATCAAGAAGTAGTACACATAAGCAACCTGTATTCAACAGATTAATTAATTTTTAATCTGCATTTATGCATATTATACACCTTTGTTATCTAACTCAACGTACTTGAATCCATTTAACAAGGTTCTATGTGGCAGATAAACCCATGTATTCTCAAACTGATGCCTATTAGCTCTCGGGATGAGATAACAAGGTTGTTAGTGCCACATAGAACTTTGTTATTCAAATTGAATAAAACATTCAGGGTTGAGTCTTTGATTGAAACCTTCCTTCATTGATAATTCGAAAATATTTACAGTTTTGATTTAATTCAGGTGCACTGTTGAAAAATACATGATCAGGTTTTTTCACTTCAGGGTATTCAAAAATGATGCAAAATACTTTTTGTCCAAGTTTGGCATAAAACCTGTCATCATTTTCTTGATAGCCCTAATCTTAGCTTCTGAAAGGCCTTTTTTTTTAACACAAAATCTTAGGTTTCAATGTTGCAGTTACGTTTTCCGGGTTTTGAGAACTTTTATTTCGCCGTGCTGTAGCTCTATCGGGTTTGAGGGGTTTTCCTTATGAAGTCGTCAGCATGATTCAGTTCGTATTCAATTTCTGAAAGGCTTTGAGTGAACCTCAATGAAGCAACTTCAGAAAACGGGATTTTATTGAATGACAGTTTTTTGGAGCAAGACTCAAAATCTTTGAAATCTTCATCTTTCATTTTTTGGTTATTGTGAACTTATTATGCGATTCAAAAGCAATCTGTCGAAATTTGACATCTCGTACTTGGATAGATTATTGATCAAATGGTTGTCTTCTGGTATAGTAGGACAGCCGGCTGCAGATTTCTACCGTCATCTGATAACGAAATGATATATGTCCCAAAGGGAAGTAAAAACATTGTTGTTCATCGAACGGTACCTGTGTCAATCACTATCCTGAGCAAAATGATTGAGAAATTGTACTTTCCTGTGCGAAAATTTGCACGCGATTTCAAGATTTGATGTCGCGATAAGAATTATGCCATTCGATACTAATTGAATGGTAGTTCTCAAAAATCTATCTGTTCTACCCACCAGTCTGAGTGAAATCCACGACACAGCAATTTATTTGCTCCTATAATATTTGATATATTTTTGTCATGTGATAACGAGTTGCAACAAAAATCAAATGTTCGTTTTGCGAATATTCAAACGTGCCGCGATTCAAACTGATTTAAGTTAGTGGCAGAGCGTCAATATTTCCGTGAATATTTCGCCCCCTTAGAGAGGTGATATCCGATGGACAAGTGTGAAACTCGTGTGGTTCTCACACTACCAGTATTCTAATCCACATGTTGAGTTCGACACTGGACCACCGGATATTATCTTTAGAGGAAGCGAAATATTCTTGGAAGTATTGATGTGAGAAACTAGATTCTAAAAAATGAAAATCGGCCTGACTGAGGACATCAAGGAAATACGGATCTTATTCCAACAAATGTTTCCGCACATGTTAACTTACCAGTCAATTTATGAAAGCTCCTGACTGGAGGGCTGCTATTCACTTCACACAGATATACCCCCGAGTCCGTGGTTCTTGCATTTTTTATCAATAATACCCACACATCTCCTCCTGACGATATTTCTGATGAACCGTCGAATTTCTCTCCTGATATGTCTGAAACAAACAAAAAAAAAACAATAGTTTCGTCAATAAATACCCTCCTAATGAATTGTCTTATGGGTTGACCTAAAATACTTCAAGGTGATATTGTCGCAACTCAGATGGTTCTAGCAGGTTAAACGTCACTATCGAGAACGAACGGTGCCTCCACCATGTGTCGAAACTCAAAATGTCGACCTTCCTTTGGGTCGTAACTCAGCTACTCGCTTGGCCTTTGGATTTGATGAGAGGTTTTCGATCGTTTCACCACTCAACCATATTCATCCCCAAATGAAGAGTCATTACAGTTCTCATATGAAATTGACATCCATTGATTGAATGGGAAAGTCATGAATAAATGCTGCATTTATGTATAGAAAGTCAAATGGTGTTATTACATTGAAATGAGTTTCAAAATCTCTCGATATCGCCAACTTTGTAGAAATAGCGAGGCGTGGGAGCATCTTGCTAAATTCCCGAAGTTTAAAACCAAATATACAGGCATCATAAGGCATTTATTAGAGTTCCCATTTTTATTTTTAAAATTTTTTGTGTAAATGGAAACAGTACGTTATATTTTTGATTTTCAATGGTGGATTCATGAAAGACACGAAGTCCTATCTCAATTGAATCCTGTGATAATAGTTTATTTACTCACTTTTGGTATATAAAATTAAACGAATGTTCGGATTGTCGCTTGTAATACAACAACTGTATTGATGATTATCGAAACACAAATTCCTTCGGTTTTGAGAAACAAATTGTGTTGCTTGGAAACCACACGAGCGCATAGCGCGAGTGTGGTTGCCTAAAGTTTCTAAAAAGAGAAGAAATTTTCGATAATCATCAATTACACGTGTTGTATTTGTCAAGATTATTTCATGAATGAAAAATAAACCATTTTCACTACCTATTTATTGTTAATATTTATATTGAATGTACAGTTATTGCAATTATTTATTTTGACATAGTGACATTCATCATTACTGCTACTAGATGCAACCGTCGTGGATATATCCATATTATCTTCTTTTCTGAGGTTTCATATTATATCAGCATGATGTTCTTTGCTCAGTTGTAAATATGGTTTCAATGACATTGAACTACTGTGCCCAGTAACTTTTATTATCTGTTGTTCCCCAATTCCAGAACTTGCCAATTGACTCACAGCTGTAGATCTGTTTGAATGGTTTGATATTTTCACGTTTTTTGTATCTAAACCGATCTTTTCAGCTGACAATTTGGTCCATTTACTTATTTCATTTATACCCATTGGCATATTTTTAAACCAAGGACTTTTATGATGTTTATTCCAATTACCATTAACTGTCAAAAATAGTCGATCAGTTTTAATGTTCTCTCCCCTTTTTGACATCAATTTCTTGAATGAACGAACTGGACAATTTTCTTGATTTTCTTTATTTGACACAAGCCATTTACTTTCTGCAATATTTTTTGATCCACCTTGTGCGGTTTTCGCGAATATAGGGTTATATTCCAGTCTTCCAGTTGGTGTTCCCTTGTTATTTATTTCTTCCTTGAAATAATGAATCAAACATCGGCATGCTTCACCGCCCCGCCAAGCTAATTCCACTGCTATAATATGTTACAGTTTCCTTTGTAATCCATTTGGAGTATTTTCATCCCAACTTTGGATAATTTGTGTCAATTCTTCCGATGTAAATGAAACACATGACTTTTTTCGTTTTTCCGGAATATTTTGTAGTTGTTTTCTTTTAGTATTTTTGGCATTTCTAGCAACTTCAAATGTTATATCTTTGAATGGATCAAATTTTCGATTGTATTCATGATAGTATTTTTCTTGGAGTAATTTAGCTGTATTATTCCAAATAGTTTTGTCCTTATACTCACTGCCATCGGTTTTCCGCATATTAAATGCCCATTCTGTGAGAATATTGGCAAGTCTTTCATCAGATGTATTTTCGTTTAGCTGAAAATTCTGTGAATTGTTTCCAAACATACTTTTTGGAACGCACGGTATTTTGGTGCGTTAAGTCTTTGACTTCATTTCTTATTTCTTCTACACTATATTTACCGAAACGATTTTTAATGTCCATTTTCAAGCTATACACCACACCTAGTAACGATATTTATCAACATATAAACAGTTTTGTTTTCTTTGATTCCTTCACAACTGGCCACAGCCTTCTCAATTGAGTTTCCCGCAATCGTGATCCCGCATTCACACTTCCTCTTCACTCGCGATCGAAGGTACTAGGGATGTTATGCAACTAACAATACATTAAAGCGTTGAATGGATAAAGCAGCGTACATCATAGGGAGTGATAAGAGAGAGATGTAGAGATGTCACGTCAGTCATGGTTGAAAAATTATTCCTATTTTAGGTTATACCATGTGAATCATGCTCAATCAATAATTATTTGGAATTGTCTTATAATAATTGTGAGGACAATTCAAATTGTGATAGTGCCTATTGGGTTTTGAATAGAAGTGTAGTGTTTTTATTCCCTGAACACGAATATATTATGACAGCATTTATATCCTGCTGTCATGCTACAAAAACTCAAACAGTAATAAGTAGCCAATCAGGTGCCGAAATACAAAATCGATAACATAGTGTTTTCGATTATCAATACAGCTGTTACAACCAATCAAAAGCGTGAATTTCCAGATGAATGAAATAATCAAATAAACCCCACACATTGCAGCAAAGTCAGTCCATGATGAAAGTAAAATGCATTCATTCAACAAATATAATATTCATACCTGCCTGATGTACTGCTAATGCTCTCTTGAATCTCCATTCATAATAATTCATAATACCCTGAGCCCATAAACCCTTGTGAACCATGTTATTAATTCTAGTTTTCTCTTCTCCTTCTACCTAGCAAGGTATGTCACCCATTTTCCAATAGTTTCCATAAGTTTTTGGTATTTTAGCCTGATGACTTCTAGGTGTTGAAACATGTAGCACGTATCGTATTTTATTAAAATTTACTTGGAGTGAGACTCTGAGATGGTTTACTTAAATATCTCATCACCTCCAATTTGAGCATGGACTACTACCAGAAATTCATAATATTTCCATTTGGAATTTGAACAAATGAATAATGAATTATCCGGAAACGTGAAAGTGACACTAGTGACAGACATGTACAGCCTGGATCAAGATGTTCCCGCACGGATTATTTGTTACGCCCTGTAAAGTTTGCGTCCTGTCTCTAACATGCTTCTAGTCAGCTATTATTGTATACGTGCATCATCAACGGGACTCCTCAGGTACCCAAAGAAGGAAAACACATCCTTGAATGTCTAGTTGTTCAACTTCTTCATAAGATTCGAAAGGCATTTTTAAATTTAGTTAAATTAAAGAAATTGTCCATCGGTCACGCCATCTATCATTGGATATTAGAACCCTACGTTCCGAACTCGCATTCAATTGTTCATATCGCGAGAAAGTCTGACAAAATAATTGAAGAGTGGGCACACCAGAGAAATTATAAAACACAACACGAAATAATTCAGAGAAAACACATGAAAAAATAGTACTTACATAATGACGTATAGCAGGGGGCTGACCATAAGGATCGGAGTCGGGGAGACGGCAAACATTTTGACAACAACTCGTGAATCACCTACTAACTCAATTTCGAAAATCGAATAGCGAGTATGTGATGAATGTTGAATAAATGAATTCGAGTTATTGAATCATGAGTGAATTAACAATGCCATACCTTATCGATTGGGGTACTATTTATAATTGAAATCGATGCTAGGTGTGCAATTCTTCAAATGGCCGTTAACTGGCGGTATTGCTTACCTAGGTAGCTTCGCACGGTAAGCGGTTTACACATATTACAGGAACTGAAGACTATGAACTCCCCTGACCGAAACGAAACTACATTGTACAGGATGTTGTAATTTGAAAACATTAATTTATGATTGGAGACTCCGAAATAAACGAGAGATCGGGTGATGTTATTCCATAGGCATTTGTACTTCTTGACAATATATGGCGAAAGTTCCGACCAATGATATGAAATCATCTTCAGGAACTTCCGTAGATTTCTGAATTGAATAGTCGCTAGTATAAAGGGTGAGTCAACAGTGTGTTCTCCTCCGATATTGACCAAACCGTCCTATGTATAAAAAAAATTTGAATACAACAGTGATAGGTTTTTTTGAGAACCATCACCTGAGAATATTTCCATATTTAAAGGGTTTATATGTATGTGTATGTATTTCTGTGTGTGAGGGCGATCTGGGACCTGACGCACTTAGGCCTTCCTTTTTGGACCCATTGTGCACCCACATTCCTGGGATCGCAAGTCAGCCATGGAGAAGGCCGGTCTCGCGAGCAAAAGAGACCAAATTTCTAGGCCATCCTCTGGGTCCAGGATACTGCTCCCAAAATGGATATCCCTTGCTGTCACTACTGCCAGGCATTCAGTGAGGATGTGAGTAGAAGTTTCTTCATCCTCTAAGCACCATCTGCATTCAGGATCCTCCACAATCCCGATCGAGCTGAGATGCTTGTTCAAGTGGCAGTGTCCTGTCAGAAGGCCCACCACAAGTTTGAACTCCTTTCTGTTCAAAGCCTAGAGGGCATTGGTCTGTCTCCATGACGGGTTTCCTATATGGAGTTTGGACTGCCTCAATCCGGGAGTCTCTCTCCAGCTATTCTGGAACCTTTCCGTCAGGATTTCCTTTATACTGAAGTTACTTCAGGATCGAGTGACCCCCAAGACTGGCTCTGGACCAATCACTGAACCCTTCACCCCCTTTCTGGCCAGGCCATCGGCCATTTCGTTACCAGGTACCCCTGAGTGCCCTGGGACCCCCAAAATACATACTTTGTTCGTTGCCGATAGCCACTCCATACGAGGTGAGCGCCTTGATCGCTGCCTGGCTGTTTTTTATATCTTCTTGAACACAGGCAAGTATTGCAATTACGTCAACCTGGAAAATCGTGACATATTCCCCAAGGGAATAGTAATGATCTGCCCTTGGGGACTGCCCATAGACTCCAGCTC